TGGGGCTTGAACACCGCAGGAAGCCTCAGCAGCACCCTTCAGCCTCCTGGGGTCCTAATGGGGTACTGCTCCACTGAGGAACCTGCAATTGAAGAACCTGCAATCTTATTAAGCCTAAGATTTTCTTCCTGCTAATATTTATCACAGAAACATAGAGACAAAGATTATACGACTCAGCCGCCTCCTTCCCAAACACAAGCATACAACTTCCCTTCAAAGAGCATTAGAATGTGGGAAGTCTTCCTGGTAGTAATATTTATTGGTAATATACGGCTGGCAACAATAGCATTAGGTAATGAACAGCATTTCATTTAGATGTGGGAGACTCAGATTTAAAATCCCACCAAAATGTGTGTCCTGAATGTTGGCTGAGGACATTAGTCAATCTAATCTTATTGCAACCGGGGCGGGGGGGGGAGGAGGAGGAGGAGGAGGAGGAGGAAGAGTGGTTTGTACAGTGAAAATAATAGAAGTTTGGTTCATGCATGCCTTATAATTTTGCTATTACAGATGGAAATGCAATGTCATGATATAGTTAGGCTAGACTGAGGAGATCTTGCTGCAAATCCCTGATCAGTTAGAAAGTTCACTGGGTTAGCCTGTAACAATTCAATGCCTCTCAGCCTAATCTCTCTCATATGACCGTGGAGAAAAATATGGAGGGAGAAAAAGAAGAGAGGTAGCATGACCCCTTTCTTGGAAGAAGTAATAGAAAATAGATTTAGACATTGTTTTTTTCTTATGAATATAATCTTTCCCATCTCTTTTCTTCAAAACAGTCTATATACTGAAAACTCAATTTTTATTTTTAAACAAAGAATTAGTACAAAGCAGTAAGAGCAACTGGTCTGCCATTCAAAGGGGTGAAGAAAAAGATTCTTCAGCTTACCAGTATGTGAAGTCGGAGTAAGAGGAGTTGGTGGAGCTACATCTTGTGTCCCCCTTAGCCTCCCTGAGGCAGTGGAAGGTAATCCACGAACAGCTGGATTGCGTGTGTGTCTCATTCTTTCTTCTCTCTCTCTCCTTTCACGCTCAGCATCTTCTACGGCTCGGCTTGCACCCTTCAAGAAAAAAACAACTCCGTGGCTAGAAGTTGGAAATAATGTAGGGCAGCCAGAGCAGAATCTATAAATGAGCACTCTATATTTTAGAATAATAAATTTATATCATTGCAAATATCTTATTCAGTTTCTGATTATGCTGTTAAAAAGTCCATACATTTGTTTAGATGAGCAGTTTCAATGTAAAGTCCATTTGGCTATGCTTATTTATATTACTCAGCAAGTCATAGATAATATTTTGCCAGAACTGACCCAAATCAGATGCTGACTTAACAGGTGGCCTTGGGCAAGCTATTTTATCAGCCTTGTTTCTTTATTTCTGCAATAGAGCAGAAACTAATTGGGATGACAACCTACAATGATTAATAAATGAAAGAAGGATCAGCCACCCCAAACCTTAGGAAGACTGCAGGGAACTAGCTGGACTGGTGCTTCCAATTTCTCCCTTGGCTGAGTTCCTCAATGATGCCTCCAAGAATCTCCCCAGAGCTGAGGGGACTTGAGGGAGAGAGACACAGAACTCTGATCTTATGATCCTGCATTATGGGTAAATATTTTAGCGAGAACTTGAATTGATCTGATATAGGCTATCATTCCATTGATGGGACTTCTGATTGATGACAGAAAATCAACAGATTTCAAACAAATATTCATCATGTAAGCAAAACGTTTGACTTTCAGGGTAAGAAGTTAGAAAATACATTTCAAATGAAGGAATCATAATAGCTAATGGGGAATATAGCAGCAACAATTTTACTTCTTAATACTGTTTTTTAAAAAAGCAAACCATCACAGAAAGATATGTCTATTAACTTGTTTCACAGCACATTAAACTAGCAACAGTTAATAACATTACAAGATTGCTCAAAAGAAGGCAGAAAATGGAGCATGAATAATGCTGATTATTACAGGAATTAAAATAGAATATTACAAGTTACAGTTGCATCTTTCACTAAATTTAACAATCTCTGTTCAATCAACATTACCAAATACCAACACACATAAATATAACCGACTTTATACAGTATATAGTGGATTGGTGACTGCCTGTCTCTCTCTAGACCAGCAGTGGGTGGTGGGGGAAGAGTGAAAGTAGAAGTTTTGTACATTAAAATCTATTCATGTAGCATGGGATTTGGGCAAAATAATTCAAAAGCAGGAAAGAATCTTTGTTCAAAGTTCTTGAAACAATTTTTCACCCCACAGATTAACAAAATAACACTACTAATGTGGGAAAAAAGCCCTCACTATTTGCAAATATTGAGATGTTCGATCTGGCACCTTTTCAAAAAGAGTAATTAAAAAAAAAACAAAGATATTGTTTGCTTTGGTATTTTTTTTTAAATCCAAGGACATTTCTACTAAATTCCTTGTTTTATGTGTATGGAATGACATAAATACTGACCTGATGTATAACAAATTGCCTGAACAAATGCATTGTACTACAGTAATCATATTTTTTGGTAGATCTGTGAGATCCACCATCTGTGGCCAAGTGCAAATTAGTGAAATAGCCTGACGTATACTGTAAATTAAAAAATGTTAGAGTTTTGCCCGGAACGTTGTATTAGGAACAGAACTAAGTTCACAAATTTGTTGACTGCAGTGATTTCTGAACAAGTGGACATTCAGGACTGGAACTTGCATGTGAAGGCTGCACTGAATGAGTGTTCTGCTTTTCCAGAGGGAGGCAAACAGAAGAAATCACATGGGCACAGAAGAGTATACTTTCCAATTATTCAACTGCTCTTGGGGTTAAAGGCTAAAATTAGGTGGATAGTCATTATATTTAAGCAAGGGGAGAAGCAAGTATGGGGCAGTCAATGTGAGTGACTGACAACATGGTATCAGCTATTGCTCCAGCAGTCATACATAACTTGAACGGGAGTATGAGATGTTTGAAGATTCGAGGCCCAACGGATAGTCCATGGAAATACCAAAAGTGATTGTGAAGATGCAGAATTGAAAGAAGCTGGGGTAAATGCTTCAATCATGATTTTCTCAAGATAAAGGAGGAAAGCCCTGACTTGGTTATCTTGGAGCAAGGAAGGATGGTGGAGAGGGGCATCTTGATTGAGATCTAATGCAAAATTCCCTTTGAATCAAGCTTTAATCTTGGGGAGAGGACCTAAAAGGGATGGTCCATATTGATATATCTAGAGGAATATGTGTCATAGCTGGACCCATACCACTTTTCTTTTTCTTCTTTTTGTCCTGATTGGTATCAAATGCAGAAGACTTGGCCATCTGTCATTTCCTAACAGGACAGAGTTCTAGCAGCAGGAGCTGGGAGACTCAAATGGATTCAAAAGGAGGCAAGATGAGTCCCAGACAACTTCTGAGACAATTGTACAAACTCTGGAGAAAGATGGAGATAAAGAAACTATGGTAGACTCAAAGTCTGCTGCTCTATGAGCTTGTTCCCAAACGCATGGCTCACAAGTGGGACAGATGATTACAAGTCTTCATATTTACGAACAACAGTATTTAAAAGAATCTATTGCATGATCTTTCCCAGAGTACAAAAGGCAAAGGCTCTGTCCATTTGAAAAAAGAAGTTCATTACTGTAACTTTGGTATATGTGGAATGGGGCCTTCAAAGTCAAAAAGGAGGAGGGGTGAGAAGAGGGACTGTAAACACCATACCAACAGAGCCTTCATGCACTAAAATCACAAAAGATACGAAACTGGAAGATTTCCAGAAGAACTGAACATGATGCTCAGGAGAATTAACCTATTGTTGTTGAGATAGTTGAAAACAAACTGAGTGGAATAAGCAGAAGCCATGCCTAGTCATAAAAGGCTATGCACATAGCACATGGTTTCTGCAAAGAAATCTGTAAGGTCTAGAAGATTCTGAACAAGTTATGTGCAGGCCTGAAAGCTGTATGTGCAATACAGAGACCACAATGATGCTTTACATTTCATTTCATTCACCATCAAGCGAACACAAGAATTCAATTAGGCTTTGGAGTAATAGCCCTGTTATACATTACATTTAATCAAAAATAGTCCAACTCTTTTTTAGGCATTTCCAATCTTTGACACTTAAATACTTACAAATTTGAGCATGTTCCAATCAAATACATAGTCATAGGAGAAGCCTTGTCTATGGAAGAGATTTCTGAATAATTGTCTTAGATATGAATAATCCGGTTTGTCATCAAAACGCAGTGAGCGGCAGAAATTCAGATAGGTAGCAAACTCGGCTGAAATGAGAAATCCCGATTCTATATTAGCAGAAAATCAATGCAAACAAAAAGATCCACTGTAAATGCACCAACTCACTGTCCTTCCACATTTGCCTCAGGATTTTATATAATTACTGGGGTGGCTGTTCACTTGAAATAAGTAAAGGTTCTGCTCATCCTGTAATTGAGTGAAGCAGTATTATTTCTTTCTTTTACAAAATGTACAAAAGGGGAAGCTGTTCTATACAGCTTCAAGTGCTAACATTATAAAGGTACACATTCTTAAAGAAGAAAGCTCTTTCTTTTTTCCAGTTAGAACAGGCCATTTACAAAATGAACGATACAAGCAAATTAAATGCTACTAATCTTCAAATTTAGAAGTTAAAAAAATGCTTGTCAATGGAGGACTAGCTATACAGTGAGCAGTTTGTCATATGGAATGAATATTGCATGCAACAGAAAATCTATAAACAGATATAACTCTCTGAAAGGACAGGCAAAGGGAAGGAGGGGAGTAAATTACCTACTAGACAATAGTCAGTTTACATATATTCATTAAACTCCTAGCTGATTTATGCCAGTTAGCACCAGTATTATTCCTAAAGCAGAGGTACAGCAAAATATGTGACATTAAAGGAAGTATTACTGTAAACTTTGCTTTAATCACAATCTAAAGAAATCTGTTCCCGAGAGGGGACTTACAAGGGTATCCTTTACACAAAACCTCAATGGGAGTAGACATTTTCTTTTCACTGATGCGTTCATATTTCTGTCTCTTTGTAGCTGCCTTCAATCCCTGCCAGGGGAGGGAGCCCAGGTTAAAATACATGAGTACATAGCCCAAGGACTCCAAGTCATCTCTGCGAGATTGTTCTACAAGGAGTATAAGAGTGGAGCCATTAGGTTCTATCATTTGGAGAAACAGTGCAAAGACGTTTCAAGCAACAAGTTATGTAGGCAAGATGTTTACAATAATAACTTATATCTGCAAGAAAAACAACTAAACAGTTATTTTAAGCATGCCAGTAAATAATGGTGCCAAGACCAGAGAACTAGCACATGTAGAACTATAGTTATAAGGCAAGAAGCTAAAGATGACTCTGACAACTGAGCCAAACCACAAACTCCAAAGTTAATCATTACTCTTTTCAACCCAGAATAAAATATCAAGTTGTTCTATAAGGCATCCAGGAATCAACAACTTCTGTGAGCTTCATTTGCAAAGAAATGTCTTTCCTACCCCATGTTCCCATTCTCTATGGGAACTTTCCTCCTTTAGACCAGTTTGCCCCAGAAATGAAGATGGCCCCCACTCTCATGGCTTTCTGGAAGCTGGTAAAAATTTGGCTATTCTGGAAGCCCTTTCAGAATTGATGAACATGGAACCATCAGTGCTAATCTTAAATTTGCATTTTGTATTACTGTTGTTGTTAAATTGTACTCTTTTAAATTTTAATACCTCTACACTGCTTAGAATCCATTTGGACTGAGGACCAGATAAATCCCATACAAACAAACAAACAAACAAACAAAGGACACATCTATCAACCCATCCCAGTAGAAAAATACCATGTGGTTTACAACGCTTTATACTGCAAATACTAAATGTATGCTCATAATACATAATGTCTCCTGTGATATATCAGAGAAGTTATATATTTAGTATATACAGTTGCAAGAAAAAGTATGTGAACCTTTTGGAATTTCATGGTGTTCTGCATTAATTTGTCATAAAATGGGATCTGGCCGTCATCTAAGTCAAGAGTATTGACAAATATAATGTGCCTAAAATAATAACAGTAATAAAAAATGCAAATT